CCTCTTAGCACTGTGTGTCCCTGACCCCTTCCAGCTCAAAAGTGCTTTTGCTTTCCCAAGAGGGCACCTGGGGCTCGTCTTTGGAGGGCTACCCTCAGGCGACTGGAGCTTCCTTGCCTGGAGACAGTGAGCCTGAAGCACCTAGAACTTTACCTTCTGCTGCCGCACTCGCCCCACCCCTGTCATTCTTGGTGAAGGAGTAATGGGAAGAGGAGTGCGGAAGTCCAGCCCTCTTGCTTTGAATCAAGATCACCCTGAGTAGCCCTCACACTCCAGAGCTCCCAAGGACCAGGCTGACACCGCCCTCCCTTGGGACTTTGCCTGAGATCACCCCTGGCTTGGCCTTCCCCCTATCCTGACCTGCTTTCTTCACTCCCTTCGAAGTTCCTCCTGGGAGAATTTCCTTAATAAATCACAGGCACACGAGTCCTTGTCCCAGGATCTGTTCTGAAGGACCCTCCCATAGACACAGCCAAGCCAACAGACAACTCCTCCCACCGTGGAAAGAATAACTTTTCCAGGAGCTGATACAACAGTTTGAGAGCCTCAGAGCTGTAAACCTTGTCTGACAATCAACTTAGGAGGCTTGGGGCTCCTACAAACCCTCTGCCCTGCCATCACACCCCACCCCTTCCTTTGCATGTCACCCTTCTTTCAGCCTTGTGATTGCTCCCAAACATCCCCTTCCCCCAGCCCCCGCCCCCCAACCGCATGGCAGCCGCGCAGATGGTGTGTCTGACCCCACCCTGGGGTAAAAGCCAATTTCAGTAAGTCCCAGCCCCGTTGCGTAGCGGCTGGTACAAATAACCCACACTGATGTCATTTAGCAAAAGAATTCCCAGGGAATGCTGTGGAGAGCAGTGCAGAGGTGATCCAGTTATCTGTTTGTTTGCTTTTTTTACATCTTTATTGGAGTATAATTGCTTTACAATGGTGTGTTAATTTCTGCTTTATAACAAAGTGAATAGTTATACATATGTTCCCATATCACTTCCCTCTTGAGTCTCCCTCCCTCCCTCCCTCCCTATGCCACCCCTCCAGGCGGTCACAAAGCACCGAGCTGATCTCCCTGTGCTATGCGGCTGCTTCCCACTAGCTATCTACCTTACGTTTGGTAGTGTATATATGTCCATGCCTCTCTCGCTTTGTCACAGCTTACCCTCCCCCCTCCCCATATCTTGAAGATGGAAATCCGGGAATGCAGAGGCAATCTAGAGGGTGCAGGCTCGGAAAACGAGGGAAGCCAGCCGAGAATGCAGTTGACCTACAAAAGAGGGCAGATCAGAGAACTGAAGAGAAACGGAAGGCAGAGCCTCGTTTCTGTTGGTGGCGACCAAAAGCACCTGGAAGTGAAGAAGTCAGTAAAGGGTGTTTTACAGAGCCAGCTACTGCTGTGGGCAACTGGGCCACCCAGGAAGGAGGTGACCAACAGCAGAGGGGCATGTGCCTCAGACATCCCAACTGAGGGAAAAGGAGCTGGGGTATTTACACATCAGCTCCCGCCAGCCAGAGAAGCACTGCTCCGATTCACTGGGTCTCAAAATAGAATTTTCTGGGAGTTTTTTCTAAATCATGATGTGTGGTTCCACCTCCAGAGACCCTGAGTTAACGAACCTGGGTGCTGGGTCTGGTGAAAGCCCCCCTAGGAAATTCGTGTGCACAGAACTGTTTGGGAAGCCCCGGTCTAGCTGATTTCTCAGATCGCTGTGAGCCTGCAAGTTTGGGGCCTCCCGGAACGACTTCAGCTGAGGATGGAAACCCTGAGAAAGCCGCCACTGCAGCTGGAGATAAATCACTCATTGGCTGGGGCTGCAGCTGGTGGAGGCTTGAGAAATAAGGGTTTTGGCCTCAACTCCACTGTTCGTGCTCCCGTGACCATAAAGGAGCCCGACCCTCAGACGTTCTTTACAGAAGGAAAAAAAAAATGTCAAGCATATTTTCCGAGGTTTAATTTCCTCCCAGTGTCCTGAAGAAACCCTCCTAAAGCTTAGGCTGCCTCAACCCGAGTCTCTGGTAATAACATCAAAGACTTTGAAATTGAGACCCTGTGTGACTTTGCTAAAGTAAATAAAAACCAGGGGAGGAGGGAAACTAGAAAGCGCCTGGGTCTAGGAGAAGCCGAACCTCCACTGAGAAGGTGAAAAAAGAGGCTGTTTGGGGTGGGGGAAGTGGGCAGAATTCTGAGGGTTACAATTCAGGAAAAGGGAAAAACACGAGGGTTGCCAGATTCAGCAGATAAAAACCTAGTTCAATCTAAAACTAGATGCCTAGTTCAATTTGAATTTCAGGTGAACAATGAATAATTTTTTAGTGTATAAATGTGTCCCATGCAATACTGGGGGCATACTTATATTAAATATTGCATGGGGTAAGTCTGTACTAAAAATATTATGCATTGCCCATCTGAAATTCAGACTTAACTGGGCATCCTGGATTTTATCTGGCAACCCTAAAACACACAGGCAATGAGATTGGTCTCAGCTGGTTAGGACACGCTTAACTAGGCGTGTGAGTTAAACTGGGTGTCTCTTGTGCTTACCTAAATGTCCCTGGTCTCACCTGGGCGGCTGTGGCCCAGGAGGTGCCTCTGGCCTTCTATTTGCAGGTGGAGCGGAAATGCCAGAAGAAGATGTGGAAGGAGATGAAAGGGGAGGGGAGAAGGCAGGAGGGGGTCCAGCTGGGAGGGTGAGGGGCCCAGCCTCCCCCTGCCAGCCCTCCTCACCCCCACCCCACCCAGCCCTCGCTGCTCAGGCCGGAAGAGCTCCATCCCCAGGCTAGGGCAGAGTTTGCCTCTCCCTCTGTAAGCCGAGGATGCGGAGGGAAGGTCCGCACCCGGGAGCTGCTGCGCCCCAGCCCCGCAGCGATGGGAAGGGGGACTGAAGGCTTATCCACACCCCCCCACCCTCAGGGCCACCCCTGCCCCGTCTCCCCGCCCCCCTGAGCCCTACATTTTTCTCCCGGAGCTGCCTCCCTCCACCCTCCTCTCTCCCCACCTCGCGTCCCTCCAAATAAGGAAGCCGGAGCGGAGGAGCGGTCGGACGGGGATGCCGGGGGTCTGGTCCCCTCCCCGAGGGGGGATCCCGCTGCCCGCGCGGCCGGGAGGGAGGGGCTGCAGCTAGAAGCGGCCTCGCGGGCCAAGGTCAGGGTCGGAGGCCCGCGGCGGGCATGGCGCTAGAGCCCAGTCCAGGTGAGAAGGGCCTGCGGGCCGCCCAGAACCTAGCCAGCCCCGCGCTGGCGGCGGCAGGACGGGGAGGATGACGTGGCGGCGCGAGGAAGCGCCACATCCTCGGGCCCAGACTTCCCGCTCCCAGGATCCGACCCAAAGAAGATAAGGCAGACCGAGGAGAGATGTCCGGAAGCAGTCACCGCGGCAAAAGGGAAACGGTTTAATACATCTTGGTACATCAGCACAATGGAATGTGATTTTATATCTTCTGGCGTTCGTTAGCTGCCCACTTGGTTCCGGGCACCCTGCCAGTTCGTGGGTACACGAAGGTGGGGATAAGCCTGGCTCTTTCCCCTGGCGGGGGGGGGTGGTGGTCACAAGCAAAACCATGGCTGTTAAGAGCACAGACTCCAGAACCAGGTAGCTAGGTGGGCTTGAACAGGGGTCTATCTCCCCATCTGTGAGATGCGGACCTCAGAGGGAAGGGGGGGAGGGTTCAGTGAGGTTCTGCCAGCAAGGGGCTTGGCAAGGTGCCTGGCACTACATAAGGCGCCCAACAGTTACCAACTGTCATTATTGCTGTTACTATTACTGTAGGCATGTGATCGGTGTCGTAACAGAAGCATGGACAAACTAGGATGCAGGCACAGAGAGCGATGGGCTAAGTACCATGGTAAAGGGCACAGAAGCTACTAGGAGGACACAAAAGAGAGTGTGCTAAGCAAAGAACAGGAGAATGTGCAAGCCCTGAACATAGAGAATGGTGTCTTTCATTCTGCCCCGGGATGTCACCAAGGCCCCCGCAGGTGATGGCTCAGCTGGATCTTGAAGGGTGTGAAGTTTGCTGGATGGACAAGAAATGGAGAGGCATTGCAGGTAGAAGCAAACATGCGAGCCAGGGAGGAGGAGAGAAGGGGCAGGGTGAATTCCAAGAACGGCTGCTGACTGTCTCCAGGAGAAGCAGATTAGCGCCCAGGGTTGCAGCTCTTCCCTTACGTGCATCTGCCCTCAGCTGCACGTGTGCCAAGCCGGCCCTCCCTCTGTGACCGTCTAGGCCTTGGCTCTGTGCTCCAGACCCCACCAGGCACAGCCTCCATCACGGTGAGGTCCCCATCCTTTTAGTGACCACCCCAAACCACTCAAGATACTTTGAGGCCGACATCAAAAGGAAAGGTTCCGGGTCTTTATCTTTTTCTTCCCACAATGATTCTCGGCCCCTAGGCAAATCTGCCCACCCTTTCCCAGCAAACTTTGAGCTCTTCATACCAAGAGACGTGGAGGAGGAGCAGGGGTGAGCCATTTTTATGGCCATTGACCCAAATCCAAGTGAAAAGATCCCAAGCTCTTGAAAGAAGGGACTGTGGTGGTGATACTGATCATAATACCTAACAAACATGGTAGCTTCCTCTCCATCAAGCACTGTGCCGACACCATCTGTATGAATTACTAGCCTTATTCCCCTGGCTTCAGATATGCAACTGAGTTGAAGAGATCTCAAAGCCACCCAGCTAGTAATGGTAGATCTGAGATTCAAACCCAGGGCTGCCTTACTCCAGAGTCCATCCCCTTACCACCGGACCATCTATTGAAAAAGCTGAACATGCCTAGTTAGGGCTTTGATCACGAGCAGGGAGAAGGCGGGGCTCCTGACCTCTTCAAGTGGAGAGTGGGTTAGCTGGTAAGGTTGTCACCAGCCAACAGGGGCAGAGCCACAGACCTGAGTGCCACATGGTGAGTGTCCTCTATGCTCCAGACACTGCCCTGCATGTCGTGTCTCTATCTGTTGGGTCCCAGCACAAAAACCACACAAGGTCTTTCAACCAAGAGAATTTAATACAGGAGGTTTGTTTTGCAGCTTGGACTTTCTGAAGAGCCAAATGGGATGGCAGGGTGACCAGAGAGCTTAGTAACAGCGGGAAGTCACTGCTGCCACCACTAGGGCCAGGACAGGAAGGGAGAAGCTGGGGTTACCAGAGCCCACAGTTCAGGCCACCTGGCAGGAGCTGGAACCACAGCAGAGATGTAGCCACTGCCACGGAAGACACCAGAAGCACGAGGTGGGGTGGGAAGGAGATTTCTAACCCTAGCAACTTACCCTCCAAGGTAGTTATTTTTACCCCATTTTAGAGATGAGGAAACTGAGACTTAAGTGACTGACCCAACCAAGACAGAGGTCAGTGAAGCCCTGATCTAAACCCAGGTCAGAGTGTCTGTCTTCATGCTCTGGCCAAACCAGTCACCTCAGGAACTGTGTGATCCATGAAGACCTTAACAACAACAAAAGAAGACAATCTAGGAGGCTTCAGTTTCCAAACACTTGACTAGTATGGGGTCAGGGATCAAGGGGTGACAATGGTGCCCACGTTTCTCTCCTCTTCTATCCCACCAAGTCCCAGCTCTAGCCCAGAGAGGAAAGTTACATGAAGCCACAGCCAGGATTCTGGGTGTTGGGACTCCAGGGACATTTTTACCTTTGTGCTCTTCTGTACTTTCCAAATTTTCCCGGAGGAACATGCACACCATCATTAATGGGAAGGACAAATCATCTCCAGGCATCACTAAAAACGTAGAAGTCTCCAGACGAAGCCTTTAGCAGAAAAAAAGTTGGGGCCAAAGATGGTGACAGGAGGGAAGACTGGCCAACACAGATGGCTTGTCACTGGCCTCCTCCCCTGGGAGGGGACACAACCAGGAGGCGAAAGCATGCCATGCCACCGGTTGCTCTTCACACATACACACACACACCCCTCATATGCACAAACACACACATGACACACACAGATGTACACACAGAAACACACGTGTGCTCTTTTTTTTTTTTCATTTTTTTTTAGCTGCGTTGGGTCTTTGTTGCTGTGCGCGGGCTTTCTCTAGTTGTGGCGAGCAGAGGCTACTCTTCGTTGTGGCGTGTGGGCTTCCCATTGCGGTGTCTTCTCTTGTTGAGGAGCACACGGGCTTCAGTAGTTGTGGCTCGCGGGCTCAATAGTTGTGGCCTGCGAGCTGTAGAGCGCAGGCTCAGTAGCTGTAGCACATGGGCTTCGTTGCTCCGCGACATGTGGGATCTTCCCAGACCAGGTCTCGAACCCATGTCCCCTGCATTGGCAGGCGGATTCTTAACCACTGCGCCACCAGGGAAGTCCACATGTGTGCTCTTATAAGCAGGCCCAGCCACAACACATATGCACACATATTTGCTAACATGTACACATGAAACACATATAAACACACATTCCCATACAAATATCCACACATGCGTATATACTAGCACACAAGTGTATATTTACACATGTCAAACAGAAGTCTCTTGTACACATGCACACATCACACCCATGTACACGGGCAGACACACACACAAACATCACACACACACACACACAGACTCATTCTGCTTCACTTTTAAAATGGGACTTGGCAAAATTTTCCTGTCATAGCATCTCCCAAGGTAGTATCTGGCCTCCTCGGAGAAGCTCCCAGTGACACCTCCCAGGAGCAGGGAGGCCTTCGCCTTTCAGCCCCAGAGCACCAGCCACAGGTGCCATCTCAGGTGTGAGCTCCAGAGAGCAACTCCCCCTGTGACAGCAGCTGGAGGCCCAGCGTGTCCCCTTGAGCACCCAGAAGCCCAGCAGCACCCAGAAGGGCGGCCCATGAGCTCCCTGGGGACCCACACCCCGATGAGCCACCCCCCACCTCAGGAGTGGGCGCAGCTGGCAGAGTCCACATGTGCCCAGAGGAAGCCACGAGGCCAGACCTGCTGGGCTCACAGAAAGGCCCGTGGAGTCTCTTCCACGAGTGGTGCTGGGAAAGCTGGACAGCCGCGTGCGAGTCAATGAAGTTAGAACACACCCTCACACCATGCACAAAAAGAAACTCAAAATGGCTTAAAGACAAATGTAAGACAAGACACCATAAAACGCCTAGAAGAGAACACAGGTTAAATGTAAGACAAGACACCATAAAACGCCTAGAATAGAACACAGGTAAAACATTCTCTGACATAAATCATACCAATGTTTTCTTAGGTCAGTCTTCCCAAGGCAATAGAAATAAAAGCAAAAATAAACAAATGGGACCTAATCAAACTTATAAGCTTTTGAAAAGGAAACCATAAACAAAACAAAAAGACAACCTATGGACTGGCAGAAATTATTTGCAAATGATGCGACTGACAAGGGCTTAATTTCCAAAATATACAAACAGCTCATACAACTCAACAACAACAAAAAACAAACAACCCATTCAAAAAATGGGCAGAAGACCTAAATAGACATTTCTCCAAAGAAGACATACAGATGGCCAACAGGCACATGAAAAAATGCTCAACATCACTAATTATTAGAGAAATGCAAATCAAAACTGCAATGAGATATCACCTTACGGTCAAAATGGCCATCATTCAAATGTGTACAAATAACAAATGCTGTATACTTAAAATCCAAAATGCTGAGTCACAGGCTATCTTAGAAAATGGTACTGGATGGCTCTCCAGATGACCAGCCTATACTCCCACCTGCAATCCATGCTAGTGTCAGTATTCCCTCTTCTCCTCAATAAAAAATATTTTTTCAGCTTATTAAGGTTTACCATTCTAAGACATATGGTGATTTATCATTTTTGTTTTAATTTGTATTTTTATGGTTATTAAAATTTTAAGTACTTCATATTCTCATAAACCTTTTGAGATATCTTCCTCAGTAAATATATTGATCATAAAAAAAATAAAATAACAAATGCTGGAGAGGGTGTGGAGAAAAGGGAGCCTTCCTTCACTGTTGGCGGGAATGTAAATTAGTGCATAGAACAATATGGAGAACAGCACGAAGATTCCTCAAAAACCTAAAAATAGAGTTGCCATATGATCCAGCAATCCCACTCCTGGGCATATATCCAGAGAAAACTCTAATTCGAAAAGGTACATGCACCCTTATGTTCATAGCAGCACCATTGACAACAGCCAAGACAAGGAAACAATCTAAATGACCATCGACAGATGAATGGATAAAGAAGATGCGGTACATACATACAATGGAATATTACTCAGCCATAAAAAAAGAATGAAATAATGCCATTTGCAGCTACATGGATGGACCTAGAGATTCTCATACTAAATGAAGCAAGTCAGAAAGAGAAAGACAAATGCCATATGATATCACTTATATGTGGAATCTAAAATATGACACAAATGAACTTAGAAACAGAAACAGACTCACAGACAATAGAGAACAGACTAGTGGTTGCCGGGGGTGGGAGAGGGATGGAGTGGGAGTTTGGGGTTAGTAGATGCAAGCTATTATATACAGAATAGATAAACAACAAGGTCCTACTGTACAGCACAGGGAGCTATATTCAATATCCTGTAATAAAATATAATGGAAAAGAATATGAAAAAGAAAGGCCCTTGCCGTCAGAAGGCTTGAGCCAAGCCCCTGCCTGTCTGTGGGCCTGTTTCCTCATCTGTAACAAAGGGGCCTCTCAGCTCTAGACCCAGCTCGGTGCGTCTGTCACCTGCTGCATCAGGGCCTTGTAGCTCACACTGCAGATTGAGCTCCTGATCTTACGAGCAGCTGGAGAGAAATTTAATTCAGAGGCTGAAGTGCACCCACCACAGTCACTGCCACTATAAATATACATGTGGCTCACTCACCAGAGAGCCCAGGTGGCCCAGGGGAGGCTGAGGGATGGACCCCCCCAAGCCAAGCGGTGCATTCACCCACTCCTGGCCCCTTCAGGTTAACCGCAGACCCGCGGCTTGCCAGAAACATCTGCCGGCATGTATCCTGGATGACAGTGGCGCAGCAAAGGGCCTGGGATGGGAGGGGCCCGCTGGGAGCTGAGGGCCTCCAAGAGGTCTAGAACAGGAAGGGGGTGGCAGGCACTGTACCTGCAGGTGTGGGGACAGGGGCTTATGGGCAAGCCTGTGCCTTTTGAGCACCAAGGCAGGGGACCTGCTCAGGGCGGGCAAAGATTCCCCTCTGCAGCGAGGTAACCTTCCAAAGAGGGTGCCCCGCAGGGACGGAATTTAGAGCTTTTTCTTCTTTAGAGAAAGACCTTGCCCATTACATTGTAAGATGGGTGAAGACTGGACGTTAGCTTGAATTGACCTGAACTTGGCATCCCTTGGAAAAGGGGATGAGCCCCCGATGGTCCAAGGAGTAGGGACTGGGCCCAGAGGGAAGGGGGTAACTCAGGGTGCCCAGAACAGTGCTGTCCTTTGACCCTGGTGAGAGCCCCAACCCTGGCTCTTCTGGGCCACGTTCCTCCCTACAGGGTTAGGAGTTGGTAAGGCCAAGGGGACATGCCCAGCTAGACGATCCCACACAACCCCTTCTTCTAGGATAGCATCCCCAGACTCCAGGGGTGGGCTGGGGCCGCTGTCTGCAAGATGTCTACCCGGGTAGCTGCAGCGGCCAGGGTCCCAACCGGAAAATAGAGCCCAGGCCAAGTGATTAATCGTGAATTAATGTAAGGAAGGAGTAACTGAAACCCTAATAGGGGCAGCGAAGCAACCTAAATTAGAAGCGGCAAGAAATTGCCGCTTCCCTAGGGCTGGAGGGACAGAAGAAGAGACGGCGCTCTCAGGAGCTGGAACCACGAAGGAAACACAGGCCGCTCTGGAGACACCACTCAGAGCAGGGGAATGGGAAGGAGCCCCACCCGCTTCTCCACTCCCCCCCCCCCGCACCCCCTCCCTCCCCGCTTCCCATTGGCTGCACCTACAGGAAGCAGGCGTGCAAGGGACCCTGGGAAATGTGGTCCATGGGGTCGAGCCCCGCAGCGCCGCGGAGCAGGGAAGGGTGAGGGGGGTCCGGATGGCTGTAGCTGATACCTCAGCTGTACGGTGGGGCGGAGAAGGGTTGCTGTGCCTGCCTGAAGGCAGGAGGTGGCCTCTGCTGACACCTTCGGGGCTCCTCTGATCCACCCTGCGGTGGAGGGTGAGTTTTGCGGGAGAAGCCGCTGTCACCCTGCACCATCCGGAGGGAGAGTAGGAGAATGACCTTGTGGGCACTTCAGGTCCCTTGACCCAGGGTCTGGGGAGCCAGCGCGCTGGATCCCAACCCTTGACCTTCCTGCATGGTGACTCCTGAGCGGCCCTGCCGGCCAGAGCTGGGCATGTGACTCCTCCTGAGCGGAGCGCCGGCAGCATTGGGGGCGGGACGGTGGGGGGGGGTGGGGGGATAAGAGCGGCAGTTGCTGTTGGTGAAGCAATTAGGAGTCTAGGCGCTAAGCTTCATGCTCTAGGTGGGCTGTATCATTTCATTCTTTTAACAACCTCTAATACACACCAAGTGTGTCCCCATAAAACCCAGGGAAAAAATTATTATAATCAAAAAAAAAATTAAAAAGTGAGTCCCACGTGTTCACAAATAACTGAGCAAAGTCAAAGTCCTGAAACTGAAAAAGGGGAACCTCCCAGAAGGTCTGAGCACATGTGGTGTGACTGCTTGGTGTGACCCCCAAACTAGACCTTGGGGTCAGCATAGTTTTCTGTTAAGTAGATAGAAAAATGTTCACTTCTGCATATGTTCTATGTAACAAAGCCTGCATCAGCACCACCTCTGTTTTCATTCAGTATTTATTGTGATTCAACATTGTAAATGTTTCACATGACATCATACTTTAGAGGAAGAAATGAAGGATCAGAGAGGTGGAATAACCTGCCCAGGGTCACACAGCTTATCAATGAGAGACTCCGTGATGGAGTAGCTGCTAGTTAACCCCCCACTACTGACATTTCCCCACCTGTCAAGTCAGGTTCAAGGCTCCTGGCACTGAGCCGAGGTGGGCAGGGAAGGGGTGTACGTTCTGACAGCACCCCAAGGCCAAATACAAGCTGGGGGGGCACCAGAGTGTGATACCACCACTGCCTCCATGTCATCACAGTGAGAACATTGTGTGCAAACAGAACGTGGTCAGTACGCTGTCCCGCTGGTAGAATGGACAGTCAACTCTTGGAAGCCTCTCTGGCCCTCCCTGGCTTTTCCCTTTAAGCCGATAAGAAGGGGGCTGTGGAGCGTTCCAGTCTCCCTTACCCTAGGCAGGCCCAGAGGCGTTGGGTGACTTGCCCAAGGTCACACAGCTGGCTGGAGGAGAACCGTGGGCCACACATGCAGCTGCAAACCCGTTTCATGGTCTGCTTCCTCTCTCCTTCTTTGGAATGCCCCTTTGCTGCTAGAGTTTCAGTGGTTCAAACCTAGAGGGCAGAATGGGTTGGGCTGGGTTTTTCACAAACTGCTTCACAGGTTACAGACAAGATTTTACTGGAACTGAAAGTAGGAATTTATGAAGTATGGTTTAAGGCACAGCTCTCTCCCTCCTCTCCACTCCAAACACATTAGGATCTTTTTTCCCCACCCACCCCACCCCCAAAATTATTCTACAGGGCAGAAAAGAGGAATTTGTGAGATCTCCCATTCCTAGTGGGACGTTTCCCAAAAAAAAAGACAATTAAATCTTCACTGCTCAATAGGAAGAGGGCAGCTCCCAGCCCCGTGGCTGCCTGAGACAAAGGCAAACGGGAAGAAAGCTTAGGTCCAAGGCCACAGAATCCAGGCCTCTCGTCCAATCGTTCCATCTGGGACCCAGGGGTCCACATATTCCAGGTCCCTCTAGGAGGATCGATAGTCTGCCAGAACTCATGAGCTGTGGGGTCAGCAGTGCTGATACCTGAGTTCATGGCTAATGAGCTGCAGAGAGCAGGGGGCCATTTCTACCTCACTCAGAGATGGACAGTCCAGTTGGAAGCTAAGCTACTTCTGAAGGATGGTAAGATATCAAGGATGGTATTATATCAGTGAGCTTTTGCTGCGTAACAAACCACCCCCAAACTCGGTGGTTTAAAACAACAACCATTTATTTAGCTCATGATTCTGCAGGTTAGCAATATGGGTGGGCTCAACTGGGTGATTCTTTTGGCCCCAGCTGGGCTCACTCCTACATCTTTGGCCAGTGGCAGGGTTTGCCGGGCCTGGTTGATCTAGGAGGGCTCGGCCAAGGTGGCGTGCCCCTGCTCTGTGTGGCCTCATCCCCAGCAGGGAAGCCTGGGCTTTATACTTGGTAGCTGGCAGGATCCCAAGACAAGGGCAGAAGTACTCAAGGTCATAAAGTCACTTTGACCAGATTTCAATGGCTGAGTCAAGTCCCAAGGCCAGGCCTGAATTGAGGATGGAGAAACTGGCCCTAGCTGTTCATGGGAGAAGCTGCAAGGTCACATCACAAAGGGGCACGGATACAGGGAGGAGAGAAGGACTGTCACCATGTTCCCAGATGTCCTTTCTAAATTCTTCTAGGAACAAAGTAGGGGCTCCAGACGGACACAAAAATGTGGAATAGGACAGTCCATCCAAGCAAGGGTTCTGTGGCACCAGCCTGATGTGCACCCGCTAAGGGCAAACCTTAAGCCTTAGCAGCGGTGAGCTAGAGCCTGTGAATGCTGGTGCACGACAGCCAACTGTTAAATACTCCGGAATTTTGTGAGCCCCTTGTTAAACCACCATTGCTTGAAATTGGCCACGGTGGGAATATTTACACCCTGAGCATTGGCAAGCACTACAAATCAGAGAGCTGGCTTAGCAGGGCACCACTGCCCTTAGGCCAAAACAAACACTTTCTCTTCCAATCTAATGAGTAAGATGGACAGATACACAGCGAAAGAGGATAACACACTAATCAGAACATGAGTGCAGTACAGGAAAGAAATGGAGAGACCAGAGACTCAGAGAGAAAGGAACTCATAGCTCCCGACACGTGGGGATTAGCTAAGTCATCGCAGAGGAGGCAGAGGCAAGGCTGCAGCCTGAGGGGGCAGCACAGGCAAAGGCAGAGAGCGGGGCTGAGATCACACCGTAGTGTTTAGTCTGAGTTTGGCTTCCAGTGAGGTCAGAAGTTTAATTATCCCCATCTCCATCTTGGGAAGTAGGTGGTCCAGGCAGGCACATGGCCCTGCCCCCTACCTGCCCTTCCCCCACCCTGATCTAGAATCTCGGAGAACAGCTGCAAGACCTTCTCCCTCTCCTCCCCTTCTCGGCAGCAGCAGCAGGTGGTCTATCCACCACCCTGGATTTGACACCTGGCTGTGTGCACTCAGACAAGTTGCTTCATCTTTCTGAGTCCTGGTTTCCATGTCAGTAAAACGGAGCGAAAGTAACTGCAGGGTCACCAGGATTTGGGGGGTGGTGCCTGTGTAGCAGTGGACACTTGGGGTGGGGAGTGTGTGTGTGTGTGTGTGTGTGTGTGTGTGTGTGAGAGAGAGAGAGAGACAGACAGACAGACAGACAGATTAGTTTTTTCCTTCTTTCTAGGCCCTGGCCAACCCCCTCTTGGCCTCCTCCATCTGCTCTGGGAGGGGAGGCCGCTCTCCTTCCCAGGCTTGGGTGGGTGGGGAGAAGGCCTGGGTGGCCTGGCCATGTGTTGGTTGGTTCTAGGTGGGCAGCTGCGCTGAACCTTGGCCACTTCAATCCAGCTTCGCTGATGTAGCCACTTCAGACAAAGGGTCCGTGGGGACGCCTGGCCCCAGCCCCCAGCCTGTCCATCTTTGCCCACAGCCCAGGCCCCCCATGAGGGGACTGTGCCAGCCACACCTGCCTGGAGAGACCTCTTCAGGAAACAGCGCCAACCCCTCCAGGGACAAGGGGCGGGGTGTCTGGTTGGGGCGGGGCCCAGGAACAAGCGGGCAGCACATGAGGGTGCCAGGTCGGCCAGGTCAACGATCCAAGCAAATATTTGGCATATCAGTGCTCAAGGCTGACCTTGACAGTCCATCACTGCGTCCTCGGAAGTGGTATCAGGCTGCTCTCGCCCACGCCTCCCCTCGTTACAGGGGTAGGTATTTCTAGCTGGGGGCAGGGGCCCACCCATCTTCCCA